CAGTTATCAAATACATGTTACAGCATCAGGACCCATTTTTCAAAGAAACGTTACACAGGAAACAGCAGGGCTGGTCTCCAGCATTGGGGTCTGGAGTCCTACCCATGCAGGTCCTCCTTGTACCCAGTGAATAAGTTTAGTGTTAATTTAAGGTTTTCTCTATTGGCCACTACTCTTTATTTCATTTCTAAATTGCCTGTGTGGCTGATCAATAATTAGTTTATTCATAAACTTTAAGTACTTTCTCTAACTATCTTCCTCAGTGTGTTTAGTTCCCACGAATTCTGAATCAGTCCTGTAGCAAGCAGCTACAGCCCCCAGACAGCGCCCAGACGGCTCTGAGTAGGATCTGGTAGCAATAAAGACAAGGGCCAAGGAAACATTCTTAGTAAGACTTATGGAAACTTAGATGAGAATTACACTAAACCCTCAAAATGTGTAAGCAATTGACATGGGCTTCCTACTTGGCTATGCAATAATCTAGCCTCATTCTCCCACACAACCCTTTTTTCCTCCTTAATAAACTGGGTTTTCCAATTAAAGATCTTACATATTAACTTTACAAGCTGCTACTGACAGGCTTTATGAATCTATTCCACTCTTATCCATTTACTTACTTACTTTCTTTCTTTTTCTGAGGAAGATTAGCCCTGAGCTAACATCTGCTGCCAATCCTCTTTTTTCTGAGGAAGATTGTCCCTGACCTAACATCCATGCCCATCTTCCTCTACTTTATATGTGGGACGCCTGCCCCAGCATGGTTTGCCAAGTGGTGCATAGGTCCATACCCGGGATCTGAACCGCTGAACCCTGGGCCACAGAAGTGGAGTGTGAGAACTTAACCGCTACGCCACTGGGCTGGCCCTCTATCTACTTGCTTACTTTTTTTTCATTCTCTTCCCTCTTACCAAGTTCTCTTTCTCCTTTGAGCCTTCCCTTTATATAGTAGGATTCTATCTTCTTTGGCCCAAACCCTTCTTCAGCTACCACTATTTTTCCTCAGTATGTTTCAAACTACATGCTACGTAAACCAAGCCCAGACCTATTATGTTCCTGAGCTGCAGCATGATCATATTTTTTAGTTTTCTCCTATTTCTTAGCTCCCACTTCCATCCATTGTATTAATTGGTTACCCCCAAAGGTAGGGACATTTTTTTCCCCAGTTTTATTGAGAAATAATTGACATACATCACTGTATAACTTTAAGACAGACAGCATGATGGTTTAAAGCAGGGACATTTTTTAAAGTTTTCAAATTAAAAATGGATTTCTGGGACGTTTATGATAGTACTTCTCAACACGGCTTTCCTGTAAGTATGCCATCTCCCCAAATGCTTCTTTAATCTTGTTTTATCTGATGAATTCACTCAGTACACATTAGTGTAGTGGCTCCAGTCTGCACATCACTGCACTAAGCGCTGGGTGGTGTAGGACAGGAGAAGGGCATTATTTAACACCCTTTCCATATATTTTCATGTGAAGTTCTTTCTAAGGTAAATAACGACTTTACAGGCTCAGTAGTAAACAGTTTAAATGAGGATTAAATCTCATTAATCCTCACAAAAATATTACAGTATTATCACCATTTTACTGTCTCATAAAAGTAACTAATTTGCCAAAGGCCACAAAGTGAGTTGGAATTTGAACTCAGCTCAGCTGGGCACCCCCAGATTTTATACTCCAGGGTATAAAATCTTTAATGCGCCCTGGCCCAGCTTCTCTTCCCAGCTCTAGTCTTCCAAGTAAGTTTTTTTGCAGTTCAATTCAATGATCTTTCTATCATTTAATCTCTTACCTGCATCTCCTCCTCCTTCTCTGACATCTGTAATGGGTTGAATTGTGTTCCCCCAAAATACATATGTTGAAGTCCTACCCCCCCAGCACCTCATAATGAGACCTTATTTGGAAATAGAGTTGTTCTAGATGTAATTAGTTAAGATGAGGTCATGCTGGAGTAGGGTGGCCCCTAACCCAATATCACTGGTATCGTTATAAAATTGGAAAAATTTGCACACAGAGACAGACAGGCACATAGGGAGCAAGTCATGTGAGGATTGGAGTTCTGCTACCACAAGCCAAGGAACACCAAGATTGCTGGTGAACCTCCAGAAGCCAGGCATGGGACAGATTCTCCCCCACAGCCTTGGGAGGAACCAACCCTGCAGTGGCCTTGATTTCAGACTTCCTGCTTCAGAACTGTGAGACCACAGCTTTCTGTCATTTAAGCCACACAGTGCGTGACAGATACTTTGTTACAGCAGCCCCAGGAAACTAACACAACATCTATTATTAGATGATTCGGAAACCCAAATTTCTACTGCTCTCTCTTTTTCTGCCCAACACTGCAATATTCCCTTTCTCTATGTATGTAACTTTTTAGCACAATGAAGTAGAACTAGTCATATTCTTGCCACACGTGAGAGGTAAAGAGTTATCCTTGAATTCTCAGTGCTCTCCTCCCACATCCGGGCAATCATCTGAATGGCTGAAGGGTTAGAAGCATGAGCTTTGAAGTCCACTGGGCTCAAATACCAGCTTCCACATTTACTATCTGTGTGATCTTGGGCAACTCCCTAAGCTTTGGTTTCCCTACCTGTTAAAAGGGGCTAATACCATCACCACTACATAGGGTCGCAAAGACAATCAAGGGAGAAGATATATGAGAATAATTTACCACATTAACTGGCATATAGAAAGTGTTAAACAAAATTACCTATTACTATCATTATTGTTTCTAAAACGAACTTTAGAATTTCTTCATTTTTCATGTGTTTCAGATGCACATTTGTGTACCTTATGTGTTGTAATCTTTTGGTATAAGAGTGACTGTAGCCATTAGCCTCTATTTAATATTGTCTTCCACCTTTCGCGATATCTAACATTGAGAGGAGGTAACCTCAAACAAGACAACTAGGAGAATCTATATTAAAGAATCCTTGAATCACCAGCGGGCCCTTTAACTTCGTTCCTGGGATTAGAACCAGTTATATAACTAAGACTTTAAAAAAATGTAGCTCCAGTTCTAAGAAGGGAGGTTTGCCACTGACAGAACAGGCATTTATTAAGATGAAATATTAAGGCATAGGCCCATGATACTTGAGTCTACAGACTAGATTACAAGATGCTTAGAAGACAGAAACCGAGTCAGAGTGGGTTGGTAGTACACTGGGGACAACAGCACAAGCTATAATGTACGTAGTCATTTTCCTCTATACAAATATGCTGTTTGGCAATGATTATGTTCCCCATTTATGTTTCCCAAGTCTTTACCAAATGCCAAATTCCCTGTCTCCTCCCTAAGACTTTCGGAGAGCAGGTGTTAGAAATCTAATATGGTTAGCGCATTCATTTTATTAACTTTAGGTAAGAAATTGGCTGAAACACTATTTGCCACATTTTCTTTCAAAAATCCCAATGTGTTAAGGTAACTTCCAAAAGAGACAAGGAGGCATTTTTTGCCTCCTCCTTCTTCCCTCCACTTCCAATAGCCTCTCCTCTCCTCCCATCCTCCGTTTGGAATCCTTTCTGGTTTTTTGAGCTGGTTTCAAATGCTGCCACCGGCCTAAAGTCCTTCTCTCACCTTTCCTGACCATCCCCACTCATGAACCCCCAGCCACTGTCCCTCCCCTGTAGCCTTTAGGTATTCTGATCTTTGCCTCAAATCCTAATCCCACCACTAGCACACGAGTGGCTAGAATAAATCTTTTTATAAACTCTTTGGCTTAAAAAAAAAGTTGATTAAATGAACAACTAATTAAGTGAACAACTTTTTAGGATGAGATCTGGATGGAAAGAAGCAGGTTCAAAACTATTAAAATGAAAATTTGGAAGCATTTGAAAAGCTAAAAATGAACTCTATCAGTTTAACATTCCAGTCCATCTCCATTCTGGTTAACTCTCCCTCACACTCTTTATCAGGTTACCCATTTCTGTTTCCTTCAAAGCATCTGGCAACATCTCTGTTCCCTGGATGCACACTGCTTGCTGCCCCCTATCAAACGTTTCATTAATACTTGCTCACTGGCTCGGCGACTTGTCAGGAGAGGAAGTTACAACGGAAGGAAAAAGACTACGTACTGATCATACTCGGCTGTGTTTCATGCATTTGCTTTGGAAATGGGGCTGGGGAATGGCCAATCTGCAGAATTCAAAACGTTGATTCCTGGGAAAATCAGTTTTAGGGTTTTCGGATTGCACTCCCGACTCCACGAGTGCTGGAGGGCGGAATAATGCCGCATTCCTCGAAACTGCCTTTTCATCTCCTGTTCCCAGAGCCCATCCCTGGGGCCGGTACACTGCAGGTGTGTTAAATGCACCTGTCAATCCCGAGGAGAGCGGGATTGCGAACCCAGGGGACAGCCCAGCGTGAAAAAAGAAAAAACAAAACCCTTCATTTAGAACCAGCCACGTGGCTGAGGTTCCACTTTACTAACACTACGCAGGAAAGCGGAGTTTGCGATGCGCTTACAAGTCATGACCACGTGTTGGCTTCCGTTTCATACACACACACACACACACAGATGAGGATCACCCACAGAATGGCACATTCACGGCCACAGGGAGTGACTGAGAAGCGAGACAGCGTGCAGCGAGTAGGGCCCAGCTAGAGGTGTCGGCAAGAATTACAATACGGCGCGGAAAGGGTTAAAACCCGGGTTCTGAGAAAGCCAGGGTTCCAGGGAGCCGGCAGGACCACGCGGATGAGGCGTTTGGCCCTTCTTGCGCTCCGTAGAAGGAGCACTCGGGGCCTACGCAGGCCCCGTCCCCGGCGGGGAGCTCCGATGCGAGGCTGCCCGTGTCGGTGCCTGTTGCGAGTGCCAAAGACGGGCGGGAGCGGCGTCCGAAGACTCGCAGGACCCTCGTCTCAGGACCGCCTCCATCCGGAAACAGACGTGTTCGGGGCCCGGCACCGCCAGAGACACCTCTTTCATGGCCGGGAGTGCACATGCGCCTAGGGGTCCTGGGACGCCCTTAAATACGGTTCTGCTGGCGCATCCGGCCTCTTTTCCTGCCACCGCCGAGTCGCGCGGAGGCGGGCGCACGCGGTGAGTTGAGCCGGGCGAGCGGGTGGTTCTGGTGCGTGGCTCGGCGCCTTTGGCTGTGGCTGGCCATGAGTGTCTGGGCCTAAACGGAGTGTTTTTGCCTTGCTTTTTTGCGTTTCAGTGCATTCAAGATTCGGGTCCACCCGTAACCCACCGCCATGGCCGAGGAAGGGTGAGCCTGGGGCCGGGGTCGTGGTGCGGGTGAGGCGCGGGCTCTGAGGCTGCTTGGCGCCCTACGCGCCCCTGATGGGGTCCCCGGTGGTTGCCGAGTTCCGGGCGGCAGGTGGGGTGCGGGAGCTCACGGAAGCTCTGCCTTGTTGGTTACAGCATCGCTGCTGGAGGTGTAATGGACGTTAATACCGCCTTACAAGAGGTGCTGAAGACCGCCCTCATCCACGATGGCTTGGCACGTGGGATCCGCGAAGCTGCCAAGGCCCTAGACAAGTACGTGTCTCGGTCTCAATACTGTGGGTTGTTGGAACCGGAACAAAACTGCAGCCGAGGGAAGAAAGCGTGACGTTCATGGTGTTAGGACACGAGTTCTGAATGGCATCGGTTCTACAGGAAACCTAGGAAAAGGTATCAGGACTCAGATCTGTGTAGCCCGCTTAGAGTTGGTGGGTTTCTGTTTGGAGTGGGATGAGCACTTGATTCTCAACCAAGTAAAACTACAGTGTTTGGATGATGACTTAAATTGTCGGATACCCCTTCACTCCCTTTATGAGTGAAACTTAATAGTCTGACAAACCTGTAGGTTCTGGGGCTCATTTCATGGTATCTGGAAAACAGATGGGGACCCTCGTTAGTAGTTTGCAAACCTGAACCGTTAAGTTAATGGGATTTCAAGTTAACGTTTGTTGCACAAGTATCTGTAATTTCATATGGTTTAGTAAGTATAGTAGCTGTAGAAACGAACGTAAATGGAACATTTGTGAATATGTTTGGTTGAGTTTCTGACTGGTGACGTTGGCAAAACTGCATGCTTTAACTATGTGAGCTGAATTTAAATGTACTTTAAGGACTAATGAGCCAGATAAATTTAAGTCAGTTAAATTCACTGGGGTGTGGACTGGCCAGTTGCATCCAGTGGAAACAGCACCCCTGGCTGGAAGTGCTTCACCGTCGGTGCCTGAGCAGTGCTGCACGATGTAGGTACAGTGTCTGGGCCTGTGGCAGGTAACTAATCGAGTAGCTCGTGCTTCACGTTAACAGCAGTCCTTGGATGTGTAAGACTGGCTTGCAAGAAAGCATGTTTTTGTTTAGGCCAAAAATTGCTAAACTAGTTCCCCCTTATCAATTTGGTATTTTTAGGGGTTGTAGAAGACAGAGCGTTTCTGTAGGAGAGTTAAGTGAACGCATGCTCTGTAACAGCCTCGTCAGGCTGAAGCAGTGTTCTCTTCCAGTGGGTGTGCTCATGCTGTTTGGTCAGAGTAGCCCAGGCGAGGGTAACTGCCCTGTAAGGTGCAGGAATAGTGGCTGTAGACTCGAGTCTCAGCTCCTGCTGTTGGATTTTGCGTTTCAGGCGCCAAGCCCATCTTTGTGTGCTCGCATCCAATTGCGATGAGCCTATGTACGTGAAGTTGGTGGAGGCCCTCTGTGCCGAGCACCAGATCAACCTGATTAAGGTAAGTTACTGCCCGATCTGATGTATCTGAACTGTTAATGGACGCATTAGCTTAATGCTAGTTGGGCCACTTAGGATCGAAAGTCAGGATTAACACATCCATGGTGATGTCATACCAGAGCAAATTCTGGAAAGTGTTGAGCTCACCACTCTTCGGGTGTGAAACATCACATAAGCTTGAAGTTGTTGGGTGTGCTAAAGCTAGTTACAGAAGCATTTTATTCCTGCAGAATTTAGTGCTAGTTTTGGTGTTGGTATGGGGTAAATCAAGTTAGAGTGTGTGTAGGTCGTCTTGGTGCTGTGCATGATGACAACTGGCTCCCTCTACTGAATTGCCTTGAGGAAACTGCCATGTCACCCTATCTGACTACAGCTACCTTTTGGGTTTAATTTATTGTCAGTAGCATTAATGTGTGCTAATATGGTGAATTTTTTGTATTGTTATTCCCCAATAGGTTGACGACAACAAGAAGCTGGGGGAATGGGTAGGCCTGTGTAAAATCGACAGGGAGGGAAAGCCCCGCAAGGTGGTTGGCTGCAGTTGTGTGGTGGTGAAGGTGAGTCAGATGAGGGAGCTTGGCTCCGGGATGCAGGGTGTGCTGGGGAAGCATGCGGAACCTCCTGCTGAACCCAAGTTGTTAATGAGAACCTCTTAAAGGGGAGAATGAGTGATTCTCAACAGACTTAAAACTGTTCTTCCTGTGAGAAAGGGAAAATAAGCCATAGTTAAGCCAGCCAATGAATCTGCTTACCTGAATGTGTTTTGGCAGAAATTTAGAGCAAGCTGGCAATAGTAAAGCCATGTTACGAGCCTTAACGACGTTGAAGTCGTTAAGGTCCCTGAAAGTGGCCACAAGAAGTTGTAATGACGGGAGGCATTCTCATAAGACATGAGCCAATTTTTTTAAAGCTCTTTATAATTAGTGCTAAGAACTTAGTGGAATTTCTAAATATTAGTAAAAAGTCACTTTTTTTTTTTTTTAGGACTACGGCAAAGAGTCTCAGGCCAAGGATGTCATCGAGGAGTACTTTAAATGCAAGAAATGAACAAATAAAAAACTTGACTTTTGCTCATCTCTGATTTTTTATTTACGCAGTAAGATAAGGTGAGGGACAAAAGATAATCATTGCAGAATAACTGGAAGCATGCTGTCTGTCCCCTTCTGGTCCCAACCAGTAAGTAACTTCAGAGTGGAAAATTAAAACAGTGGCCTAAGCAAAGATAGGCTTAGGATAGTGTATTGGTGACAGCCCAGGGTTTTGTGGTTGTGAGCATATATCAGAACTATGGCTAGGCTAGCCTAGAACCTGGAGAAATGGGCTGAGGCTGGTCAAGGGAGAGTTAATGAGTTGGAGTCCTCTAGCTGGACAAGTCGATAGGAAAGTACAGAGGTGGGGCAAGGTTGGATTTAGGCTGTGGGCACTAGAAACGCATCGTGTCCAGGAGTGCTTGTGGACATGACATTGGGAAAGGTCGGGGTGTCCATTGAGTTCATAAGTTACATGTTAGGCAGAGCAGCAAGAAATGCTCCAATTCAGTGTACTCGAGTCCCTAAGACTCTCACACGGTTGTATCTTGCTTATTGTATCTTGCTTATGGGGGAAGTGTTCTGAGAAATGCGTCATTAGGCAGTTTTGAACGTGTGAACATCAGAGTACTTAGACAAACCTGGATGGTCTGGTCTGCTACACACCTGGGCTGTCTGCTACTAATCCTGTGGGACCATGGTCCTATCAAGTTGCTATGTTAGCAAGGAAGTCTGAATTTTGGAATTTCTGGGAAATCAGCGACTGAGGTACTGTCTCCTAGTTTGCCAGTCCTGCTGTAGTGTCGCTGGCGTGTGTTGTGAACCTGTGAACTTGAGCAAGATCTGGTTCTGAATGCTCACTTGAATCATTAGTGGTTTGTTTGGCATCTCGGGAATTTACAGGTTTAAAAGCATTCCTCCAAAATCTGCCTATAAACATGTAGAAAGCTCTGATACGACTGGAGGCTGGCTGTCCTGCGCTCACAACCTCTCTGAGGTGCAGGGAGGGGCCAGGTGGTTTGTAAGCATGTGAGTGGGCCCAGTAGATGGTGTGACCTGGGGCCAGCTTCTGCTGTTAAATGTCAACCTGGACCATTTGGCTTTTCTAAGGAAAGTCGTTTGTTTGCTTGTCTCAGCATTTATTCAGCAGACATTTTGAGACTCTATTCTATATCTGGCCCTGCTGGAACTGTATGCAATAGAAGAAACATTTTAAACATACCTTATATATTTTATGTGTCATCTTTTATGGGAAATGCTATAATTCAGGCTGGAGAAAATTGGTCTTCAGTTAACAGCAGTCTGCATTTCTGTTTTTTCACTCGCTGGCCCCTTTTTGGGGTTAGTGTTAGGAAAACCAGCTAATCTGTTCACTGAATACTGCCTCCTCCCACTGACTTGGAATTGCACCAGCATTGGTTTTTTGATATTTCCAAATCCACTGTCACCTCAGCTGCAAAACATACTTATATCTCTTAAAACAATGTCCTACCCTTGACCCTAGCTGTGCTCTCCTGCCCTGAATGCTACCTTCTATCCAGTCCTCAAAGTCGTACTTCTCAAGATAGCCTCTTGTTCATCTTGAATCTGTTCCGGCATTCATCCCCACTAGTCTGCTAAAACACTTTGTTCATCTTGAATCTTTTCTGGCCTTTGTCCCCACTGCTCTGCTAAAACGTTAATACGGTTACCAATGCCTATTTATGGTCAAATCCAATAGCTTCTTCACAGCCGTTTCTCTTGACCTTGCTGGCTTTTTTTAGAAAAATAAGATTTTTTGGTCCGCATTTGGGCCTTTGCCATGCTTTTCCTCCTCGGTTCCTGCTGTTTCTCCTGCCTTTTCCACTAATAGTCCTGCCCTTCAGGCTGTGGTTTCCTTTTCTTTTCTACAGCCTTCTAGGAACTTTCTCCCATTCCCATGGCTTCTGTGCTCTAGATTCCTGTGCTTTCCAAGTCTGTTTTGTCTTTTGTCAGTTCTGGACTAAGTGCACTAGACTGTACCCCGTGGACACCTGCCTGCACCTCGAATTTTGTGTGCCTCAAAGTGAGCTCTCTTTCTCTCAAAATGTGTCTGGTCAGAGAAAAGAAAAGCTATTGAACATGGAGTGTATACCGGGCTCTGCATCACGTGGTCACGTCCATTATGTGGTCCTTCCAGTTTCCCAGCCCAGAGGCCTGGGACGTCCTCAGCTGCCTCTACCTTGTCTTAAGCGGCCGTCAGGGACTCCTCCAAGTGATCGCAGCAGCCTCCCAACTGGTTTTCATGCGGTCACTGCTCGCTTAAGTTAGGCGTCCACACCACTCGGAGTCATAGTAGTAAATAAAGCGATCGTACCCGTCTCTTCCTGAGGGCATCTGTCAGCTCATTCTGCTCCTGCCTCAAATACGTTTTTCTTTCCTCTAGCTGGCAGTCTTATACTCGTCCCTCAAACTTAGCTCAAATGTAACTTTAGCCTGGAGTTGTGATGTGTCTGTACATCTTACAATGGGATTCATGAGGAGGCCCGTGCGTGCCAAAAGTGCCCGGGCAGAAGCAGATGTCTTCATTTTTTACTGGGGAAAATCATTGTTATTTGGAACCAGTTGTCGCAGGCACTCACAGCATCGTTGAGGATGTCTGTCATGTACCCCGAACAGATATCTGAGCCAGGGACTTGCTAATTGTTTTCTTGCTCCCATGGACGAAGAGAACTCGTGCAGCATCCCTGTTCACTTTGGCTATAAGAAACCTCCAAGCCAAATATGTCGTTTTCTTTCTGTCCTTAACTGTTGCACTTTTTAATTTTTGCCTAGTCCTGATTTTATTGAAATTTCTATTTGTATTTTTTGGTAAGCCACTTCAAATGCTTGAAAAAATGAGCCAGGACAACCGTTGAAACGTTGTATAAGGGCTGGCCTCGTGGCGTAGTGGTTAAGTTCGCATGCTATCCTTTGGCAGCCCAGGGTTCGCCACTTTGGATCTGGGGCACAGACCTACGCACCACATATGAAGCCATGCTGTGGCAGGGGTCTGACACATAAAGTAGAGGAAGATGGGGACGGGATGTTAATTCAGGGCCAGTCTTCCTCAGCAAAAAGGAGGATTGGCAGCAGATGTTAGCTCAGGGCTAACCTTTCTCAAAAAAAAAAAAAGTTTTGTAAAGGCTGTCTTACGTTGGTGTCTATTAAAAACAAGGATTTAACATTTTTAACTGGATCTTTGAGGCAAAGGCACCGTTATGTAGGCAGAGGTGGTGGTAAACCCTAGAAAAGTGTGGAAACATCTATTAGTCTTTACTAAAGAGTAATCTAGCCCTTAAAATGGAGCTTGAATTTTTTTATTTTTAGATGAGTGTGATTAGCATCAGGCTAGAGGAGTATGTTAAGCACAAGCAAGCTTTTTGTTCCTCTTCCCGCACTCCTGAGACCCATAGAGGAGGAAGGGAAAATCTAGCCAAGGAGGGGAAGTAAGATCCCAGCTCTCACCACTCCGGGCTGAGGATGGAGCAGGCTAAGGGGTGGGGTATTGTCCTCCCAGCTGGGATCCTGAGAAAGCTCAGTCCACCAGACAGAACGGACTTGCCCGCAGTCAGCTCCGGCAAGAGCAGTGGAGGCATCATGGCTGGATTAGCAGTGCCCCAGAGAGGCCATCGGGCTCTCCCATCCTCCGGAAGAGACCCCGTTGGGTGAAGTCTGACTCATTGCTGGTGGTCTGGTGCTGGGGCAGATGGGTCGTCAAGATCAAAGTTGAAGATTAACCTTACAGAGGGTGATCAGATATTTGGGACTTGGCCACATAAGTGTTAACACATCCGAGAGTCCAGGACTGGGACCAGTGCTCCCCAGCCAAAAATAAATCATGAGTCATTTTTAAAAACATGGCTTACACTTCAAATAGCATAAGCACACCTAAATTCTAAAGTTAAACTGCCCTATCACAAGCAAGATGCTTCAGCCAGCTTTTTATCTAAACCCGTGGCTCCTGGTCACACCTGCTGATTAGCGCTGCTTTCAGTTGGGCTCCCGCCTGGAAAGGAGGGAGGAGGGGTTCCTAGCTCAAGGGTCGATTTCCTGAGCTTTCTCCGAGTTCACACGAAACATCCCTGAAGACTCTTTCTCCACTCTTCTTCTTCTGTTCCGTGTTCGCTGACCATCTTCTCCGCTTTCCTAGTTTGATTTCCACGGCACGTTGGCTTTGGGAGAGAATGTGCCAGAGAAGGGACAGAGAAGGGCTTTTCTAGGCAGAAACTCCATCTCCTTCAAGCTTCCTCCTTCTCCATGAACTAGGTGGAGTTGTGACCCCTGTGAAACTGAGGCCCTGCTGACCACCGTGTGGTCCTGCCAACCCAGGAGCTTCTGTTAACCTTGCGTTTTGATGACAAAAGGAGAGAAAAATTGTAAAACACCGCTTCAGAATGTCTTTAGTTAAGAGAACACGTTGACCAATTACCAATCAAAGAATGGGTCTGGCTGTCAGTATATTATCACGGGCTGTTAGTAGTACTTTTGTTGGTTGAAGAAGGATGATTAGGTAAAATGTGGTATATTTACATAATGGGATATTATGGTGCCATAAAAATGGATGGTATGGAAGGACATTTGTTAATATAAATACTTTTAAAGCAATATTCAAAATGCGCAATTGGACTACGTTTTGTAAAAATAAAAAAAAAGGAAATAATAAAGGGATATAAGGGCACATGCCAGCAAAAAGGAGAAGAAAGCTTGGAAGGATATGCGTCAAGGTTTTAATGGTCGTTTCTGGAAAGGTGGGCATTTTGCTTTTCCTTTTCCTTATTTGTTTTTCTTTAATTAATACATATTGCTTTTGTAGTGCGAAAACATATCTTTAATTAAAGAAATGAAATAATGATACAGGACATTCTTGGGGTTAATTTTAAGTACTGTTTATATAAAAGTTTAAAAATTTTTATGCTTTGTGAACAAGTGAATTTATTTACTTGTCTGGTTAAATAGCCCTTGGACAAAACGGAGCAGCTTAAACAGACTGAATTCAGACCTCGCCAGCAGGGGGCAGTGAGAGCTGGTCCTCGCCAGGGAGCTCTGTGGCAGGCAGAGCCGACATAGGAAGCACTGGGCACGGCAGGCTCCCCTCGGACGGGGTTCTCCTCCCGCTCTTCCAGGATTGCTGAGCGCCACTTACCACCTTGTTTGCATTTGCTGTTTGCCTTGATGTTGCAGGATCCACGCTCCCCAGCTGGTGGGGTCGTTTCGTCAGGTGCTCCGCGAGGTGGTCAGCCAGGTGACTGCAGTTATTATGTATACAATGGAGACATCCAAACTCTACAGCACGTTCCTGGAGGGAGAGGTGTTTATCTGTAATAGGGGACTGGGTGTTTCTGTGCGACCCCTTTCTCTTGCACTATCTTGAGAATGTGTCTGGAGTTACCTGCAGACCAAAAAGTTTCCGAGCAGGCTGGTTCTGGGAAAATGGGCATGATTTGGAGAGCATCATGCAGTGGATGTCCTTTGGAGATGTCCGTCTCCACACAGTAGCTCCACGGGGCGCTGGCTTTGTCCCAGGCTGGGTCTCTGTGCCTAGAACGGTGCTTGGTGTGGTAGGCACGGTGTTCTCTGTCGGGTGAGTAGATTGGGCAGGCCTGTTTATCTATTTATTTACTTAGTTAATTTGTGGATTTTCTTCTCAGGCTTAAACTCCTCAGCCTCCTTTGATACTTTAATTTCTCATGTTCCTTTTTTTCCGGCAACAAAAGTGAATGTCTCAAGTTGGGGCTCCTTTAGACTAGAATGGTGCCAGGCTGTCTCAAGGGCCCTGCCCGCCGACCCCCCTCCACAGAGCAGGGCAGAGAAACACGTCCGATCACAAACGGGACACATAGCTCTAACAGTCTGAAAAAATAATTTTAAAAGCCATTTTGAGACCTGGGAACGGTAAAAAGCACGTGAATTCAGGGAAACTATTTTTACACTGCAATAATTTCTTTTTGAAGCCTATTTATGGAGACATATGCCAACAGCTCACTATTGTACGAGTGATGTGAACTGAACCTCACACAAACGTAGTATTTGTCTTTTTATTTTTCCTTCTCTCCACTGCCCCCAACCAAAATTTACAAACGGATATAAAAATCCTGTTTGTGCCTGGTTGGCTTGTTAGAGAAACACTGACTAAAAGGCCTGTGATATTTCACAGGGCTGCTACCAGGTTAAAAGGAGCAAAATGCACATTAAAAAATAAATACATATGAGATCCATAAGGGGAAAATAAAACATTAACATGCAAAATGGTACAAATTTAAAACCCTGTCTTCTCTTTCAGATTCGATGCTGGATCTACTGGGTGAGTTCCAGGGTTCAGCAGATGTTTTGCTAAATGGGTGCCTGGTGTGCCTTTCTGGGAGGTGCTCACCCACACGTGGACCATAAAGTGATGCAGGACCATTATTTCAGGAGGGAGTATGTGTGTAATTTTTAAGAACACATTCAACCCTTTTCTACTCCCACCCACAAGCTGAATTTTGAAATAAAATCATCCAGCTCACAATTTTATATTCCAAATTTCTGTCATGTAGAGAGTCCAGAAATTTTACTCTAAAATAAACATGAAAATGATAACGTGGACGGTGCTAAAGGGCAGAAGTGGAATTCGGAGCCCTATGCAGAAAAGAAACAATGTACGTTAAATCTTTTCGATTTTTACATAACCGAGATCAAAGAATAAAAATCATACTTGTAGTTACCTTGCTGTATCACCTGGTCTTGTCAGGTGCACCACGTGCACCTCAGGCGAGCCTCCCAGGCTGCACTGCTGCCATCTGGAGTGCCAGTCTCAGGATGCAGGCAGATGGAGGTGTAGCGAAGCTTCACTTACAGTTGAAACTATCCTGTTGAGTGGCAGTAAAAATGAAACAGGTGAGAAATGAGCTGGTCTTCAAAGAAACTTCGGTGTTGCAGTAAACCTGCTGAGCACGGTTCTCCTGTCCTAGCAGGGCAGTGGGCAACAGCAGGACCTTTGATGAAGCAGAAACCTGCCTGACCAGTAATCCCAGCACCCTCCAGCATCAGGACAATTTTAAAGGAAGGGTTCGGTTTATTTGTGGCAGATGAAGGTCACGTTTTGAAAGCAAGCTTTATTTCTGAGTCGGGGCGGTGGACACGAAGAGAGAGTAAGGGGGAGGGGAGTGTGGGGTGGAGAGGGAGAGAGAGAGAAGCTTGCCTTGCCATTAAAGAAAGTAAATCAATTGGTTTTAATTTGCAGAAGCAGTACGGTAATGACAAGAGCAGAGGAAAAACTGTTTTTTGGAGACATGGAACTCTCTGGAGGATAGTTTTCAGATCCTGAAATTTAGAGATGAAAAAACTTTTGAAAAGTGCCTTTATTTATTCTCTTGTGTCTGTGCTTTGGTAGAATTCTACAATGGGACCGTGATGTCTGTTGTCATTAGCAAAATTCCAAGCGCCGTCTTCTAAATTTGGAATTGTTGGAGAGAAATCAATTTCCTGAGAACACTTTAGTTAATATTACATTTCAATGTATATGATTTTTACTTGTAATGTTTTAAAAATGTTTTATTTATATTTACATTGTACAAAATAGGTCATTGAAATCTAGATCATATGAAAACTATTCAGAAAAATCAGGAGAACTACCAATTTTCTGTTTAGATAAAGATTACAAAACTTCTCCAGAATAACTTCAATCTAAAACATATCAAGTTTAAAACAAAATTATTATGGCAGTGCCATTTTGAATAAAATTAGTTTTAATCTATTGGCTAAAAAAATGTGTGAAAGAGCCAACAGTCTCTAGTTCGTAGCTTTGTCCATTCCACTTCTCCGCACTCCTTTCAACGGTGACCTCATCACGTTCTGTGCAGCCAACAGGAGATGGCAGCATTGCTTCAGCCATTGGAAAGACCCTGCGCCCGATCCCTTCTTCAAAGAGAAGGCTGGGAGCTGGTGGGGAGCAGAGTTACAGCAGCAGGTGCGCAGTGTGTCTCCCGAGCAGGATGCGTAGGAAACAAATGTGAAGTCAAGCTGGGGAATGCCTCTGAATGCTGCAGATGTTTACGCATATTTTCCAGTGTAACAGCCCCTTTCCTTGTAAAAATGAAATGGGTCAGATGTTGAGATTTTTATGGGATTTAGAAAGCTGTACATGCCTAACAAAGAACTTGCCTTTACAGCTGTGGGATTGTTAATCTCTACTTTTTTTATGGAGTAGCAATTTTCTAAGAACACTAGACACTCATCTTCTTTATTTCTTCTCGAATTTCTAAACAGATTTTAATAATAATGAATATGGAGGCTTGATCTCAGAGCAATAAAAAGACATACGTGCACCTGGATTACTCCTGTCCGTTTTGCTACACTGTTAGGATAGGAGAGAAAAGGTTAGACTGGTAAATGCAGGGGCCTCAAGGTCTCAAGGCCTCAGCTTCCTTTTAGTATTCAATTTGTACCTCTCCTTGAGGAGGCAACTTCCAAGACATACAAACCCCTCATGTGCAACCTGGATCTATTTTGCTGAAATACTTTAAAAAATATATATATGCAAACAAACTTACATATGTTATGTGTGTAAAGAACTTGTAATATTCTTTCTTATCTTCCTTTAGAAAATGTAACCAGCTATTTGAAGAGTACCTGGAAAATCAACATTTAATGGATTTATGAAAAAAGAGGAGAAAATGAAGATCTAAATAGGCAAGTTTTCTTGCTACCTATGTTCGGTCTTTACCCTGGTTAAAAAGGAAAAGATTCAATAGATTATGTTAAATTGGAGAGTTGCGTTCCAGCCTTTCCTTTGGTTTTAAAATTCTGTATTCTTAGAAATCTTGTTCAGGAGCTATTTCCCAAAACCCTACCTTTAAAATATGGATTTCTATTGCTCATTTTCATTAACCTTTGAGCTTTAATTTTCTCATGCATGCATATGATATGCTTGGGCAATGGTTACTTTTTTATTTTTTATTTTTCTATTTTGAGAAAGCAACCCCTCCATAATGGCATAAGTTTGACTTGTGTGTACTAACCAGAACATTTTATTAATATGCTAACTCTTTTTCCATTAAAATCCTAAGTTAATGAATACATAAATACAACTATTATGGGTTCCCCAGAGACCCAAAGGTGAACGTGAAATGTAGTCTACCAATTGGCAGCTTATATCACTGCCTGGGTTACTGTATCAGAAATAATGAAAACCATAGATGTTTAATCATAATGCAGTCAGAGGTTTACGCTGGCCTCCTAAACAGAAGGAAGGAAGATCTGATTTTAAATGCTGTTTCACCTTTCTTTTTCAATATGCTGGATCTCCTCACTAAATTGTGAACAAAGACGCTGGTATTAATTTTCATCCCTTTTGACATACTAAGGACTTTAAAGTGGGATTTGACAGAGAGTTTTGGTGTGTTTGTAGGGCCAACCGCCGGGCATCAGATTGGTTAGTAAAGGTTGTTATGGTGTGCGTACCAATCCATTTGGAAAGCATTAACTCAGAGAGGGGAATGCAATGGCTTAAATATATATATGTATATATAGTGTTGTTCAGCCCACACCCACGGAGGGTATGAATCCTAGCTCTGCCAGTTAGTGATTGTGAGACCCTAGAGAAGTCATTTAGCTTATATAAATTACAATTCTTTTTCTCTAAAATAGGAATACTAATACTGTCTTAGAGGTTTTTTTGTGGAGATTAACTGAGATAATATGTCTAAAGTGCTCAGCCCAGTGTCCAGAACATAAATCGTAGTGGTTATTATGATCATGATGCAGAATTATCACAGTAGATTTAAATATGTATAAATATATAAAATACAGATTACTTTTTCTTTGCAAAGCTCGAACCTTTATAAAGATAGTTTTAAGATCTGTTAAAAACTCGGATATCCTCCAAGGAATAGCTTATAACTTTTAGTTACATGGTGCTTGAGACAGTATATTTGTGTAACCTTCTCAGAAAAGTTTTATAAATGGCTTTCATAGGCCATAGACTTTATTAGGGTCCCAGTCCTGAGGGTTTCATAGAAGCTGTTCTAAAGATTCTTTAGAAAGATTGTAGGAAACTGTTCTGCCCAATGGGAGTTTACGTCTGTTCAGACGCCTGCTCTTGGCTTCAGCTCTCGACTGTGGCTTTGTGCCTCCACAGACAGCATGCACGTTAACAGCATTGGCTGTAGACGTTTAGAGTCGTTACTCTGAACAGCATTTCCCAAACAGGACATTCAGTTTTGCACACCACTTACATACTGGAAGTTTAACACAATGTGTTACTTTTTGTTTCTGTAGAAATTTTTGTCATCTAAGGAAATAAATGAGTTTAAATATTTCCAAAACTAGGCCTTCTGCCTAGAAAACTCTTTCAGATTTGATCTTTTGTATTTTCTTTCAACTACACTTTAGGTTTGTGAACAGAGGTCAGATTATCTTGTCCCTCATCCTGCATTCTTCTCCGCCAGTCCCTGCTCACCCCCTCCAGCCCCTCATTTGCACTGTCTGTACCAGCTTATAGATTGCATACCTGATTAAGAACTTCTTGAAGGTAGGGAACATTCTCTTTATATGCTTTCTCCAATGCCTAATAGGATGTTTTGTTCAAAAGGTGCTTAAAAAAATGAGGACATGAATATAACTGTGGTCGTGTTGTGTATATTCGGATGCAGGCACTGTCAACTATGATGAGGCTAAAGTGGAGGCTTTTTATTCTCGAAGGATGACAGTTGAATACTATGACAGGGATCACGTATGCTACACATTGAACAAAAACAGTCTTTTTCCCATTATAATTTAGGCTAATCTATGAAAGAATTAAATAATACAGAAAGCTAGTTTACTTCAGTATGTTGATAACAAGTTACTACAAGGGGTGAAATAGGCTGAAAAGAGTAAGCTTGGATAAATGTAGAGGCAAGATGTAGAATGGATAGTCAAGGGAAGCTGCATGTTTTGAGTAAATCTCTGAACTTTGAAGCTAATGTGAGTAGCTGCCGTCTTGGCGTCTTTGCCTTGATTGAGCCATTCTATTGGACTGGCAGGGCCCTGATCTTGACAGTAGGGCAGTTCTCATGCTCACAGAGAGTGTAATGTATCAGTTTTAATTTTGTAATTATTTTATCTTTGTTCCCAGCACCCTTCATCATCCTCACCTAGCAAAACCCCAACCTGGTTAGTACAATACTTCTCCTGGTCCATTCCTGCATGCACACAGCTGAGTACCATTGCAGAAAAGCATGCAACCAGACCAACTGGCTTCATGTTGACTATATAGGATGCAGGTAGGAGGTTAGAAGTCGTGGTGGCCAATTGATGTTCCTTTCTGATTGTGTCTACTTTCTTTCAGTGAGATAAGGAAATGAGGTCACCAACCAGGATCAGGATGAGGAAGGAGGTGATGGAGATTTGAGGTGAGAGGAGACATCCAGGAGAGTGACGGAGTGAATGGGCAAAGCATGTGATGCCATCTCCCCTTCAGCTGTTGTCCACATTTCTCAATTCCCATTTACAGCAAAACTCCCCCAAAGAGTGATTATACTCCCTGCCTTCAGTTCTACTTCCTGCTCATCTTGAAACCACTCTAATCAAGTATTCACTCAAAATGCCTCTGAAACTATTGTCAAGGTCACTGGTGAATTACATGTTATTAAATTTAACAGTCAATTTTCAGTCCTTAACTTTCTCGACTTATCAGTGGCATTTGATAGTGGATTGCTCCCTTCCCTGTGAAAAAATTTCTTTGCTTGTCTTCTGTTTTGCGGCTGCTTGCCTACTTCCTCCTTCTCTGTCTACGGTACCAATTCTTCATCCTCTCTCTGACTTAAATATTGGAGAACTCAGGTTTCATTCCCTGGAGCTTGTCTCTAACCACACTCGCTCTGTTGGTGGTCTCATCCACATATATGTGGAAGGCTTCCAAATTTATATCTCCATCACAGACCTTTCCCCTGAACTCCAAGTGCATAGACCCAACTGCTCACTTGACATCTGCACTTGAATGTCTAACAGGCTTCTCTAACCAAACTTCTAATCTTTCCTCCAAAAAACTCACTCCACTCCTGATTCCTCCCCATTGCAGGAAATGATAACTCTACGCTCTTAGTTGCTCAGGCTAAAAATTTGGGAGTCATCCTTGCCTCTTCCCTTTCTCTTATATTACACATTCAACTCTGTAAGCAAATCCTGTTGTTTCTACCTTCAAGATAGAGTCAATGTCTGATGGTCTCTTACCACCTTGTTGCTTCCATTCTGGTCTAAGTTGCTGTCATCTCCCACCTGGATGGCTGCAGCAGCCCTGTAACCAGTGTCCCTGTGACGTCAGCAGTCTTTTCTCCCAAGCAGCAGCCACAGTGAGTGTTTGAAAATTTAAATTAAATCATTTTACTCCTCTGCTCAAATTCTCTAGTGGATTTCCATGTCACTCAGAGTAAAAGCCAGTCCTTACAATGACGTACAAGGCTGCATGTCATCTGACTCTGTCCTTCCAGGATCTTTCTCCTATTTTCTTTCCTCATTCATTTCGCTTTAGCCACCTGGCCTCCTTGCTGTCCTTTGACAGTACCAAGCATATTCCTGCCTCAGGACCTTAGCACTTGCTGTCCTCTCTGCATGGCATGGTCCTCCTGGATGCATTCGCATACCCCACTCTTTCATCTCCCTCAGGTTTCCGCTCAGATGACACCTTATCGTGAAGGAATTCTGTTGATCACCCTATACCCTTCCCCATATTAGGACTCCTTTGTGTCTTCTCCACTTCCTTCCTTAATTTGTCTCTGTACCACTCATTGCCATCTGACACCGTATATTTAAATTACTTGTTTGTGTATTAGATGTCTCCCTATGCTAAAATTTGATTTTCATTTTTTTATAAAAGGGGAGGTCAGGGAGGACTTCCTGAAGAAGTAATTCTCGAACCAAGATAGGGAAGAAGAGGAGGAGAAGCTGAATACGCCAAGAGGAGAGAAGATCCTTCCAGGCAAAGGGAAATACACCTTCCTGTGGGTGGAAGCGTGGTGAGAGCAAGGGACTAAGGAAGGCCTCATTCCCTTGTATCGGACACCTCCCTGATGGCTGACATGAGGGCCACCAGGAACGCAGGCTCAGTTCAACACACTGATGACCGTGAAGTTACTGTGTTAGTCTTTCTGGTCCCAAGTTCAGAAATTCCAGGGAAAGACTTTGATGAACCCTCTTGGGTCAGGGGACTAGTTGGAGGGGTGGAGCAGCATGCCTGGGCCAGCTTGGGTCACTTCCTCACCCTGAGACAAATCCCTGTGGCCAGAGAGGTGAGATCTCTAAAAAGATGGCAGCTACCTCCAAATCCCCCTTCAAACGTGGAGAGGCACATTTCCCCCGGAGAACATGAGGATGCTCCACTGACTAGACAAGGCACTAGATGCCCACTGTAGTGACTGAGCAGGAGGGGCTTTTTGTGGTCCAAGAATTAAGAGGTTGGAGACATAGTGTTCGGAGAAGCAAGATGACACCACGTTGGAACTTTGGGAAGAAAAAACCTTAGGAAAAACTTCCTGTATCAGGAAGTGGCAAGTAAACTGTGAGTAGTGATATTTTAGTCAGTTTTAAGTTGAATAAATGCCCTGTGCGGTTCCCAGGGAAAGCTGTTGCCTGTGAAAGCTTTGTGTTAATGGGGCCTGATCCAATTAACAAGACGGGCCGTGTCCTCTTCAAGGAGAAGAAGTTTAATAGAAGATAGAAACCTGCAGGAGCAGTTGTTCCATGATGGATGGTGACTGCCAACTGAACTGGGAGTTATAGTTTTTCAGAAAGAAAAAAAGAAGGAAGGTGATAGGTGAGCATCAGGAAAATGCTAGCACCATTTTCCTTTCCGATCTCAGCATCATCTCGCACTGGTGCTCAGTCCTTCCTATTTGTCTCTCTACATCCATTTTACACCATCATCCCAGTTTGTGGAGAGACTGACCTGAATGAACTGTGTTCATGAGCATCCTTGTGTGCTACCCATGAGATGACCAGCAGCGTGGGGAGGAGGTGAGGCAGGGTGTTTAGTCCGGGGCTCCCTGTTGGTTCACCCTGGTCCTGTAGAACGACAGGGCAGCATCTGCTCTCTCCAGGGGTAGTGACAGCTTTCTGCTATTGTTGGTCCTGAGATCCTCCTCCATTCCTTACTTCTCCAAACTCTGCTCACTCTTTTTGTGAACAATCCCCTTGTTAAACTCTATTCAATTTCCCAGTCTGAGTGCACAATTTATTTCCTGCTGGGACTCAGGCTGATATAAGGACGTGGGGTATTCTAACTGAACAATTTTAGGGAGCTAAAGAAGATAGGGGTGATTGCAGACTGTTTTGTGGAGTTTGTGTAGAGGCACAAAGACAAATCTGAGGAGACTGAAGTTATACCGCAAAACGCCCCACAGAGAACACGCACTCACTGAAACCAGATGTCTGCAACAGTCAGAGAAGGAAGCAGCCTGATGCCAAATGGTCCACATCCAGGTGATCATCACAAAGGTAGAAACATGAATTAGAATACATTTTGGAGAAGTTTGCAAACGGATGATGCCCTTTCTGCATTATTGAACTCTAGCCAGTCAAAGGTTCACAGAAAGGTGATGATAATAATGCACTTTTTCTCTATTTCTTTGGCGTGTACACCCTCCAGCTTTAATGTCTCCTTTGTTGTAACATTTATTTGGCATGTCCTGTGATCCTTGCATGATATTGATCTATAAAATTGGATGAACAAACAGGCCACCAGTTCACCTGTATCGAAATAGCTCTAAAGGGGAAGACATCTGGGTGGATAGATGAGACGGCACTTACGCAGCCAGAGGAACCCAAAATAAACAGAAGGAAAAAAAATAAACCTGAGATGCCGCAGAATTCGGGAAGCAATTTATATACTAACTCTATGACGGTGGAGGAACTTTCAGGAGAAAAAGTCTGACATTAACCTACGATGGAGACAGCAGGCTGCACTCAGTGATCGGTAGGCACAGTTTTTGAAATGAGTGTGCGTTGCACTTGCACTTGCATTTGTGAGTGTGCACAATGCTCATAGATAGAAGAGAAAGAGCAAGTTATGGTTCCTTGTTATGATCTTAGCTTAGTGCATCACCTGACAAAGGGCTTTGCATATTGAAAATGTAAGCATTAGTTGAACAAATGAACAGAAATGTCTGCTGAAAAATGAGCACAAACCACCAGCATGTTAATAAATGAACACTTTTGTTCTCAGTGTAATGTTCTGCTTGTTTAACTGATTGTTGTTTTGATTGCAATCTCTTCACTGACGATAGTATTGATAAACCTATCAAAGAGATATATTGAGTGTCTGTTTACTGAAAGTAAATTGCTGGGATTTCAAACACCTTTTGGATCTACTCCTAAAGGAGTTATAAAACATCTCTTAATTTGTTAATCATTAATATTTGGCCCCTGTGACTTGTGTGTGTAAATATACACAGTAGATGCTCATTTTGTCAAGTTGTTTCTGACTCAGATGCTGTGTTTCCTTGGCCACTTCTAACCTGAGCAAAAGTGTGGGTGACAGAGTAGTGAAAATCCAGAGTCTCCATCACGAGTCTCCATCACATGAACAAGTAGAAGATGTGTCCCCACATGGAGGCTTACTGCCATCGTCTTTATGTATTTATGAATTTGCATAGTAACGAATGCCCTTTTAGGTTGAATTATTAGAATTTTATCAATGCCTCGATCGTTACTTCAAAAACTAATTTTGTGCCATCTGTGTTCATTGGATGAGAGGAAAAAGGAGAAAATATATTTCATATGTCAGACTCCTACATAAATGTAGGTGCAGCTTTGACTTGAGATGCAACACTGGGCTGCTATGGAATTTTTACATGCTGTGTAATAAAAGTCTGCAATCTGATACCTCACACATCTCCATTAACCTCCGACATTGAATTTGTTCGATTCTGATTGTTTTTTCATTGATACAAGTGTTTGGTGAGGAATTAGGAGCTTTCCTTCACAAATGTTTTGTTTGATTTACAGCATTTTGGGCTGTGATATTCCTGGTTAGAATACTTTACTGTTGAATTCTTTAAAAAAAAAAATCAGTGGAACTCCCAGAGGATAATGTGCATCAGTTCTATGTTAAATTCTTTGTTCAGACTTATTATTTCAGCCTCCAAAATGTGTTTTCACTAACATAATAGCGTGATAAATGCAAAAAGTGTGTGCGCAGCTTTAAACATTTGGAAATGCTTCTAAAGGTCGCTTTTCTACTGGGCAGCTTACTTTTTCTATAAAGCTGTTTCTGTTCCATACCCTACTGTCCCAAGGTTTCCAAAAGTTGAACATGAACTCTGGAGGAATTCTCCTTTGGACTTAAAAACTGGAGTTGCCTGGCAGACAGTTTTTATTCTTGTCTGACTGAGTTCCCCAGCTTTCTCCCTTCTTGTGTCCTTGGACATCAGTTTCACTTGTTTTCCTTTGAATGGGTCAGAGTGGTTTCTCAACTTACAGTACATAAACCTCCCAGCTAAGTGTCATGTTCGTCCTGGACTGTCCATGCTGCTCCACTCTCCTGTTTAACCTTCCTCATCACCTCCTCTCCTCCAGCACTTAGTAGACATGAACCATCAAAATTCAATGCCACCACCAAAACAGCCTACATCACGAAGACAGTCTACCCCTTTACACCCGTATCTGCTCTTCCCGAGCTGGCAGCCAGTAGCCACATGTGGCTGTTCAGCACCTGCCGTGGAGCTAGTCCAAATTGAGATGGGCTGTAAGTGTGAAGCATGTACCAGATTTCCAAGACTTAGTGCAAATAAAAAGGATGTAAACATCTTATTAATAATTTTTACATTGATTACATGTTGAAATGGTGATATTTTAAGCTTGTTGGTTTAAATATAATGTTTCATTAAGAAATTAAAATATATTATTAAGAAATTTTATTTATTTTCTTTCTTGAATGATGCTGCTGGAAAATTCTTTTCTAAACGTGGCTACCAGAAAATGTAGCTCTCATTTGTGGTTTGCATTATATTTAGATTAGACAGTACTGCTCAGTATCAATCTTTCTCAGACCTGGTTATGCATCAGGAGCACCCAGGAAACTTAAAAAGACACTCCCACAGTTGTCTGGGTCTTACTCCAGACCTACTAAATCCGAAGACTAGATGTCAGTCTTAGGAATCTGTCTTTTTTGAAAGCTCCCTTGATATTTTGAGGCAGCTAGTTAGTAGAGCAACATTTGAGAACTATGCTATGGGCCTCTCTTATGCTACCTCATGACAACACTTTTTGGTCCTGGATCTCATATATTATAGGAGGTCCTCTTTTATGTGACCAAATATGGTTGTGGCTAAGTCACAAAAAGCAAGTCTCTACCTGCTTGCTAAGGTGCTTCCCTTCCCCTAACCTATTTAAATTTAGAACTCTCTAAGAAGGGGCTTAATGAGGAAGAATATTTGCATAATGCTATAAAAACCCTTTTATCTAATTTGGCTGGGACCAGCAATGGTCATTTACTCTTCTTTTTAAGACTTTTTAAATTATTTTTTTTAGGGCAATTTTAAGTTCATAGCAAAATCAAGAGGAAGGTACAGAGATTTCCCATATATCCCCTGCTCCCACACATGCATAGCCTCCCCCTCTATCAACATCCCCCACCAGAGTAGTTACAATCGATGAACCTACGCTGACACATCATTATCACCCAAAGTCCGTAGTTTACATTAGGGTTCACTCTTGGTGCTGTATCATTTACTTTTTAAAACACCATTGTGGGATGGGGGATGATATATTCACATATCAAACATTTTATTTTAACTCAAAAAATACGTGCAAATATTGGATTGTCAATCTTTAGGGCCAGAGAGTTTTCTTGACGTGCTGGTCTGCTGATTAGAGCTCTCCAATACCTTTCTTCCATAAACAACATCCCAAATGCCTCCTTGACAATTTCCACTTCCGTTTCTTTAAAATGTAGAATGATCTGAAATATACTTATGAGGTCATCCACGTGCAGTACTTTCTATGCTATCGTGATTTTTCCCCTAACCTTCTGTAGTTTTTTCACTTAATTTGGCAGAAACCATTTTTCTATTTATCTTTTCAAAGCATTTAACTTAGTTTCCACAGAGATAACAACTCTTTGTTTTTGCTCTTATGTTTCATTAGTTTACATAGTATTTGTTAAATTGCGTAATTCCAATAACAATTACAACTATCACAGTCAGGTTTGGGAATAAACTTATTTGACTTTTGTTAAGCTTAACAGGCGGGAGCAGTCTTGGACAGGCTTTCTCGGATGCGGCCTGCTGTTGAGAGCATTTGGAATGCCATGGCCATCAGTCGATATGCTTAACAGAAGGAATGGGTAGCATGGTGAATTAGTCTGGCAAATCAGTTAATTGAAGGTCATTCAGAGAAGTTCTATGATAAAAAATAATAATGCAATAGTCACTGATATTTGTTGAACACTTAGCATGTACTAGATATAGACGCTTTGTATATAACACCTCCCATTCGACTCACAAACATCCTTTGAGGCATGGTTTATAATGAGCTTCATTTCACACATGAGGAATCAAGGCTTCCAGAGGTTAAGTCACTTAAGGTCACACAACTTTAAGTTTAGAGATAAAATTCAAACCTAGATTAGTCTGATGCCAGAATCCAGGACCAACTTTTAGCTTCGGAGGCCTAACCTTGAAGAGAGGGTTCACGCTGTCCCCTTGCTGGAGACCTCACTGGGCCTGACATTGATCTATGGGACTGGGTCAAGGGCAGAGACTCTGCAAAGCCAGCAATCACCATAACAAATAACTTGCATGTGTGTCCTGGATCAGAGGACAACTCTATAAACGTTTTTAGAATATGATGGAGCATCATGTAATTAATATGCCTAATGTCTTCAACCAATGAATAGATTGGGTGTTCTGAAGCAAACTTTGCTGAGAGTATTATTTGAGCTGGAGCCTAAGGGGCTTCAAGGAGATGAATAAATTCTTCTCCTCATTTCTGGACACTCTATCCTGGGAGCCAGAAACCAGGTATTTATCATGCTGTCTCCTCTGGGGTGCTTTTCCTCCGTGTGATGAATGTGGCTTCCTGGAAATTCTGCTTTACGCCAGCCTTGAGGCAGAGTCCTTTTAGCTCAAAGAAAAATAAATTGGCTTCGGGAAAAAAAAATAACTGTCAGCCTTTTAATCCCTTCTTTTCCATCTTCTTTTTCCTGACCGTGGTACTGTACATTGTTCAGTCTTCAGGGATTCATCGTTCATTTCTAGAAGAGCATCAGGTGACCTCGATGTGCACTTCAAGTGCCTTTTATATGCTTTGTCACACCCATGTTTGTATGTGATAATTAATCACCCATGGGTCAGCCACCTAAAATCCTGCCCCAGGCTCTCTCTGCCCCCACGACAATTTTCCTCCCACGGGAAAGCTGGTGGGTAGCTTTGCCAAGGTGTCATTTGGTAATAAAATATTTTTCCAAGAAGATTTTCAGTGAGCTATGAAGCACTTACCGCGATTTTCACCTATTTTCTTGTCTTTGCACGTGAATAATTGCATTTACTTTCTTTGAAGTATAATTGTGCCCAAAGAAGTCATTCTACGTATTTGGTGGTTCTAGATTTTCTCAGACTTTACTTTTGAACCTGCCACATTGGAAACATTTTTTTTCTAATAATAATTTTGATCTGAGTGTTAAAAAAAAATCAAGCTGTGTAGTTTCTCTTTTGTACTGGTAAGAGCAATCAAAATTATTTTGCAAAGTTTTTAGTTCATGAAAACTTGCTGGCAAGGAAGTGAGGAACTTTGTTAGTCTTAAACTCGCCTGGGCATTGATTGGCTGGGTCGTGTCATTTGAAATTAAAGATTTCTGGCTGCCAGAAACAAAGCAGCCACAAGTAGGTCCAGAGAGAACAGGAATAGTGAAATTTCTCTTCTGTCAGGCCTGTCTCTGGGTGTTTGTGAGACAATATTAAACTTGAGTTTCACTTAATTTCAAAAATGTTAGCTTCATGGTTAAATCAGCCTCATGGTGAGAAGAGATTCTATCGTTGTTTTTCCTTAGAAGTTCTGCATTTCAGCATCAGAAATCAAATTGAATCTCAAGAGTGGATGGGAAGCTTGGGCATGTTTTCATAGATGGACAAATTCAAATAATTTGCAGAGGACACTGGAAATCGGATAATGGCTCACACGTGTCTTGTAAAGTAAATATTGCTTATGTAGGAGGCCAGCGGTTCTCAAACTGTGGTCTCCAGACCGGCAGCATCAGCATCGCGTTCATCTTGGAAAGTGATTCTCAAGCGCCACCCAAATCTTCTTAAATCAAAAACTCTAGGGGTGGGGTCCAGTCATTTGAGGTTAAATAATCCTTCTGGGGGATTCTGTACATTAATGTTTGAGAACTGCCACCATACACAATTATTTTAGTTGTGAAGGAAATTTTGGCATCATCTCTCAAACTCATCTTTTAGTATATGAAGATTTGAGGCTCAGAGAAGCTATGAGCTTCATCTAAGGTGTTGTTTCATGTTGCAAGGAACAAAGTCAGGCAGTAATCATTTAGTTAACAGAAGCTTATTGTAAGGATTTGTATCATATCACGGATATCAAGTCTTAGACTCTCATGATGAGGACTCAGGCATCTCTCTTTTACTATTCCTGTTATTTCTGACACCTCTGACTAATGACCCTCTCTTCTCTCCTTCTACCTCGTGGTCCTGCTTACTTACATCTTTTCTTGCCTCATCGCTTTTGCTTAAAGCCTTTTCCCTCCATTAGTAGTTATGTTTTGTCTTGGTTTTCAGTTTCTGCATCGGCCCCCAGCCTGTATCGTACTCTGTGTGTTACTATTTATGGTCCCTAAGAGAAAGGTTTTGGTATAAATTATGGAGTTCCTTGTTAGGCAGAGCTCTAGTGCCAGACCATCTCATTCATTCATTCATTCATTCCCTCAACAACTATTTATTGAGATTTTGTGTCTTTCATTATGCTAGATTTTGGGAAGAATAGTAAAGAAGATAGACAAAATATTCAGGTCTCCACAGCTCTTAAATCCTAGCTCGGATTTATAAAATAGACAAAGAGTAAATATTCACAGGTCCGTAATCTCTTATCTGTGATTCTGAAATTCAAAAATCTCTTCAAACTGAAAGGTATTTCCTAACTCAGTTGGCAGCAAAACCTGACCTTACTTGAACTTCTCCAGCAGCAAAACCTGACCTGCAGAAAAGTGAAGCTATTTGTATCTTTGTTTATCCCTCTTCATGTGAATCCTCATGAGCTGCATTGAAGAAATATTAATGTTTGATGTGGGGAGCTCTCACAGACCCGGATGCCATAAAGCCTTCATAAAAATTCTAAAAAAATTGAATTCTGAAACATAATTGGTCCCAAGGGTTTTGCGTAAGGGTTGCAGACTTGTAACAAGGGTTGCTAAGTGCTATGAAGAAAATTTAATAAGGTGGCCGAGAGCTTAAAGTTCCACATGCTCTACTTTGGAGGCCTGCCTTTGTGGGTTCGGGTCCTGGATGCAGACCTATTCTATTCGTCAGTCATGCTGTGGAGGCATCCCACATACAAAATAGAGGAAGATTGGCACAGATGTTAGCTCAGCAACAGTCTATCTCAAGCAAAAAGAGGAAGCTTGGCAACAGATGTTAGCTCAGGGTGGATTTCCTCACCAAAAAAAAAGAGCAAAAAAAGAAAATTTAATCAAGGTAAGAGGATAGAAAAAAATGGGCAATGCTGTATAAATGCATTAATGCCTGTTATGGCTCTTCTCAGCACACAACCAACTCCAGGAGCAGTCATGAACATGGGGTACCAGGAAATGTAGTCACCAGTAGAGAACAGAGGGGCTTTTGCAAATAAATCATTTTTTAAAAATAAATTATTTCAAAACTTCTAGTCAATCCCCACTAAGTAATTCCTT